TTTGGGACACCAAGAGGAAAGCCACAAATAATTCTAAAACAAAAGCAGCCCCACAAAGAACAGCTTTCTAATTAATTACATGGTTTCATTAGTGAACCAACGTTTTCGCAGTATATCAGGAGAAGATGGCCTCCTGCCATCTAACTCAACAGTAGATCTTTTGTATCTTTTCAGATTCTGGTTTTCTGAGAAATATTTACTGCAAAGAAGTAAATGATCCAGTTTGAGCAAGAAGGAAATCCGGGTAAATGAGAGCAACAAATCTGCATTAAATGGGCAACAAAACATAGCACAAACTCTTCAGAACAAATGTAACAAATGAAGAATCTGCCTTTATTATTAATAATGTATTAGAATATACCTTGATTATAATATATACACTTTGATAATTATTATACCAGGGCTCAAAATTTCAAGTCCTAGGTTACTAGCCAGGTTTTAAGAGTTACTCGCCACAAGTTGCCCCACCTAACCCCTACCCTGCCCCGGCCTTAAAGGAGAACTATGGGGTTAGGGCTTTTGCCCATAGTTCTCCTAAGGGTAATGGGAGGACACAAACTAGCGGCCCCGCCATCACCCAAAGCTCAGTATACCGCCAGTATACTGTGACGCCGCAGCTGAAACGGATCCTGACAATTATGTCTGGATCCACTCAGCTGCGTGAGTGACAGCTGGCTCTGCCTATCTAGAGGCAGAGCCAGCTGTACCCGTCCTCTCCCCCGTCCGTTTCGCCAGTCAGCGCTGGAGGATCGGAGCGGGGAGGGGGGAATCCAGTCCCTCCCGTCACGGCTCTCTGCAGTGACAGGATCGAGAAGTGAACGAGCGCCAGTATGTGTTCGCTCACTTCCCGATCTACTGAGCCGACCTGTGACAGTCTCATTGTCACAGGTCGACTAGAACTATGAGGATGAGTGAAAATCACTCACCCTTATAGTTCTCCTTTGACTCAGTCAGGTCAGCGGTGTGACGCCGAGTACAGAGAACTGTGGTGTGATGCACAGTACAGAGACCTGCAGGTTAATGCAGCAGTTATCATATGCCATCTTAGGATTTGCTCTCTCTAATACTATAGGTTTGTTTGATGGTTGCTTTCCTGATCTTTTGCGCCATGTAAATTATGCTGGTAATGTTGACATTCATGTGAACAGCTGTAAATAATATTTTTCTGTGTCTTCCTTGAAATGTTGTGTTGTCAAGGAAATGTATCATATTTCCAAAGTCCTTTCATTAAAAATGGTAAAACCTAGGGGGGAAAAAGAGGGGTGAAGTGGGAGAACCTGGGTTGGAGGAGTGGAGGCAGCTGAAGATGGTCTGTTGTTCATGTCTTTGCAGCTTAATGCTAGGGATGCAGATACAGTGCAGGGTGCAGAGAGTATCAACAAAATGCTTCCATTTAGCAGCGGACCTACGCTGAAGCCAGTCTCTTGAAGAATGTCCTGCCTCTCTCGCGCTGTCCTGCCAGTAGTATCTCTGCAGTCTTCCTCCCAGCCTATCCCAGCTTAGGGTGGAGGAAGCTGCAGGTGGCCGGAGGAGCCGGTAAAGAACATACAAATTGATTCTTCTCCTCGGCCACTCTGTAGCGGCAGCGACCGAGGAGAAGAGAGAACTGACACGGCGATCGCCGCTGTAGAAGCGGCCGCAGTTTTTCCCCTGGATTTCCACTCACCCCCACGCAATTTCAGTGGAAATTTTGAGCCCTGATTATACTACACTGTATACTTTGTATTATACTGTATTAAGTGTATGTTCAATGAGCTTGGTAAATAAGGCGGTGACGATGTTCACTTCAACCAATTCTGTTTTGTTTTTTTCACTCATACATAATTGGGTATTCAATGTTCACAGGTTTCACTGGTTCATTTTATTTACTATCTTCTCAGTTTGCAAAAAACAACATTCATTTAGCAAAGTGCCTCTACTCAAAAACCTGTAAAAAAAAAAAAAAATGTATAATGTCCCTTAATACCACTCTAAAATCTCACTCGATCATTTGCTCCACTCTACTCATTTGTAGTCTAAAAATATGTATTGCATATAAAAAAAAAATCCACTTGGCACCTCTGCTCCTGATCTTGTGAAACTTGGATTTCCCACCGGAT